TAGTCGACGTAATCGTGGCAGCCCTAATGTAAGTGCAGCATGTGCGAATTATTATTCAGCAAACAGACTTCAAACTTCAAACATCTAAAGGGTCATTCTAAAGAAAAAGCCACTAACCATGTTAGTTATGTGCATGTGCTGTTTTAGCTTTTCTCGTTCTGCCTTTGTTTTGTTTGTAGCGTTTGTCCCGGTCAAAATAAAAGCTTGTTTTTTGTTCACCTCACTCGGCCTCCACTGTCTGCATTTAAGTGCTTTCTCCTCACGCCAGAAGTCACAACGGTGCACGTAACGCACTGTGTTGCCAAACGTATTCACTCACCCATCTAAATCATTCAGAACGGCTCGCTCTGAAGAGCTCAGTGAATTCCAGCGTGGCACCGTGATAGGATGCCAGCTGTGCAAGTCCAGTCATGAAATATCCTCACTATGAAATATTCCACAGTCAGCTGTTAGGGGGATTATAGTACAGTGGAAGTGATTGGGAAAGATGTGGTAAGCGGGCTGATGTCACCAACTTTCTGCAGATTCAATCGCTGTGGACCTCCGACCTTCATGTGGCTCAAGGACAGCGCACAGAGATCTTCATGGAATGGGTTTCCATGGTGACCAGCTGCATCCATAAAGACGTGGATGAGCGAGTTTGATGTGGAAGAACCTGACTGGCCTGAACAGAGTCCTGACCTGAACCCAACCCAACACCTTTGGGATGAATTAGAGCGGGGAGTTCTCGTCCAACATCGGCGTCTGACCTCACAAATGTGCTTCTGGAAGAATGATCAAAAATTCCCATAAACACTCCTAAACCTGTGGAAAGCCTTCCCAGAAGAGTTGGAGCTGCTATAGCTGCAAAGGGTGGGCTGACATCACGTGAAACCCTGTGGATTAGGAACGTGATGTCACTCAAGTTCATATGTGAGCGAATGCAGACGAGTGAATACGTTTGGCAGTACAGTGTATAAGGGTAGGTCATAAATGACCCCACTCGGTCAGCTGATGGTTGAAGCAGCATTACGTGACTATGAGCAACCAATGCACATGATACAGTGTAAAAAAGTTAATGAATACTCGTGTTAGGAGAGGTGCTTCATCAGGAATGGATGAAGCACCTCTCCTCTGGGTCAGACAAAGAACAGCTGCCCTTTAAACTATGTGTATTATTTGCATGTGTGGGAAATGTGCAAATGTGTCTTAATGCAACATTTGTGTGGTTTCTCACTCGTTGCCCCAGTCGAGTCTGACGGTGATGTGTCTCTTGACGTCTCTGCTCTGGTCTTGCGTCAGGTGACCAGACAGCAGCTGCCTCCTCAGGTCTATCAGCTCCATCATCACGTGGCGAACCTTGTAGAACAGATCCACCTTGTGTTTCTGAAGGACGGAGAGAGAAACAGGGAGGTTTCATTCACCATTCGTTCACCACTTAAAATTCATCTTCAGCTCGTCAATACGCTGATTCAGCCGTACTTGTCTGGCAGGGCGCCGCAAGGCCGTTTCCGTGCTGTTTATTAAAGGCACTCAAACAACTCACAGTGGAATAAAGCTGAGGTGAGCGAGTTCAAAGCCTTAGCAGACCGTTTGTGTTTAGTGTTGCAGAGACATGTGTCAGCACGTGCTGGCCATGAAGAACGGAAACACTGAAAAAAGATTTTTATGAACATGCGTATTTGCTGCGTTGCGTCTACTTGCCTCACAAATGTTTAACACAAAAATACACAGAAGAAGCTCGGTTGGCAAATCAGGCTGAAAACGTTATGCAAGTACTAACATGTTTTCTACCACAGGAAGATCTGGGCAGTTAGAGGAAAGGGCAGCAAAGCAGGTCTAGTTTGTGATCCACTCCAAACATGAGTGGATGTCCAGAGTTTGAAGTTTGAAAGTCCAACTTTACAGGATTAAAAGCACATTTAAAAGTTTTGCTCTCTTTAGCTAATCCCCAGCTTGATGAAAACAGCACATCCAGCCCTCAGACATGTGCCCGCTTCACCACAGCTGATCATCGTCCTCCATCTCATCCTACCCCCCACAGTCCTTTGTCTTTAGCATCACATGCACAGTTTCCACCCTGTGGCCATCAGCAGGCAGCTGTTGTTAATCTGGGCCACGACCGGATCAGAATGGAAATCTTATTCTTATAATTTATGTTTGATTTTGCCAAAATCTTTTCAACAGGCTTGGGACTAGAATTAAGAGTATGTAACTTTATTAAATGGGTGATACAGAAAATAATTATTTGTTATAATGCTATAAATGTCTTAATGGCTTTGGTAATACACTTTTAACCCTTTAAGACCTACCATAGAACCAAGTCCGCCAGAGCTTATATTATATGTTTACA